TTATTTAGTCTTAGTTATTATGTTGACACTCTCAGAGTCACCCTAGCGTCGCTCAAAGGTCGTCCATAATTTATAGTTTCATCCTTAACCCTAAACCTTAACTCTAACCCTAAACCCAAAACCATACCAACAACATTGAAGCTATGTGGTCGAGGCTAAAAGAATTTTTGAGACCTTATCATGGTTTCAGAGGTCGACTACTATGGAGCCACATGGATGAGTTCCTGTACCGGATGCACTATGATTTTAGAACTTCTGAACCTATATCTGACCTTGATAAGTTTTTGAGTCATGTAAAAGAACAGTATCACCTTTAATTCTTGAGTTTTGTATAATATATTTTTGCTGTATACTAACTGTTTCCTGATTGGCTAATATTTTTCAAGGTCATCTAAGATTCGTTCAAAGGTCGTCCATGTAGTTTAGTCTCGCCGCTAAAACTACCTACCATGAGGAAGTCCAGTCAAGTTAGCTGGACGGAACGTTGGAATTATTTAAATTTCAATCGCTGAGATTATTTCAAATATAATTTTCACATATAATGAACTTCTCTATACTCGGCGCTCAATTTTTGTCAAACTATTCATTTTAATCTTAACGAATATTCGTATAAATTATTTTCCAATCGAATTAAATTATCAAATAAAACGGTTGCTCAACTTCGTGGATTGGTTGAAGTTAAACATTAACACTGTTGGATGCCGGTTCAGTGGTCTATCGGCTAAGTGCTCGCGTGCGAGACTGGTAGCTCCTGGGTTCGAATCTCGCGAGGCGGAATTGTGGATGCGCACTGCTGATGAGTGAGTCCCACAATAGGATGAAACTGCCGTTCAGTGCTTCCAGGTTTCCTAGGGTGGTCTAGTTTCTATTGACTCTTGATTTCAACTGTATATGTAAACTATTATTTGTTCGATAAAATTTGTTTTTACAATGAGCAGAAAGAAATATAAATCCCTGATCTTTTTTTTCTCAAGAACATCCTTAATTGATTTACTTCGATTTGTAATAACGTTTTGTTGAAATTTGATCAAGATTATAAAATAGACTCATCTAATATGATGCGACATTGAAGCTTGAATATTATATCGTATTTTAATCTATCACTCATTTATCAACTGTGATGTAGTCCTCTTTGTATTTTATTGCTGTTGATATTATTGCTTGTACATATTTATTTTTACTCTTTTTCCCCTTTGTTCTAACTTCCTACTCTGTTGTTTGGAAATTTTTTGAAATGTTTTTCTCAGTATCGGTTGTGGAGGTTGTTAAATTTTATATAAATCATGATCTTATCTAAGTTAAACTATCATTGAAAACCTAGATGCACTGGACTTCCGTCACAGTGCACATCCATGTCCTCCCAACCTGGGACCGAAACCCAAAACCTTTGGTCTTGCGCCAGAACATTTAACCCCAATATTGTGAATTGATTGAAGTTAGACATAAACACCGTTGGAGGCCAACTTAGTGGTCTATAGGTTAATTATTCGAGAGCGAAATGAAAGTCATTCAGGATAAGCAATAGTGAGGTGTCCTATACTAGGCAGAGGCACCTACCTAGTACTTCTAGGTTTTAAACTGTGGTCTAACTTAAATCGGTTGATGGTTTCTGTCTACTTTTCGACGGAATAACCAAGCGAAACCTTTACAGCAACAAGAATTAATTTAAGTGCTTTTACGAATTTATATATATATATATATATATATATATATATATATATACTGATTAAGAGCACCACCAACTTGTATTTCCTCATTTCCATAGCTATTTGATTTGTCCTCGCGGTCTCCCACACCGTCCAAACACTCTATGTACCTATATTAATTGTTGTTGTGATTGTTAGAAGGGGCACTGACCTTGTGACTTCACCGATGATTTCAATCTATAATCCATTAGATTTTTTAAGATATATTGTTTGAAAAATAAATAATTTGCCCCATTACTTGGCTTTTATTGAAAGTTGTTACGATACCCAACAATTTTAATTGATTGTTTTTCGCTCCTACTATTATAACTAGTTTATCCTGAAATGAAAATATGCTTTAGTCATTCAGTTTGTTAATTTTTTTATGATACTAGATTTCAGTAAATTCTAATGGGGCCGGGTTTTTTTTTCTGGATGAAAAAATTGGCAGACAGAAACTTCTATTGACGTTTATTGCATATCTGAATAAATCAATAATGTAGCATTATTTAATTTTCTGTAAACACAAAAACACGTTATAATCATAATATCGCTTGATAATTTGAAGGGACATAGTAATACATTATCTTCATATGAAAACTATTGAGTTATGACTTATAACAAAATGAGATTGCAAAGTGAATAATTTCCACTTTGCTAATAGGAAATGTTTGATTTTGAGCGTTTTCCCTCTTCCCTATTACTTTTAATCTCCCTCTCAATAAAAACTATCGGAAATAAATGTCTGAAGTAAGGAATGAGCAGTAGTAATAATGTGGTGAACGAAAACTCAGGTGCATTCTATCAATTTGTTGTTTCATGCAAACTCACACAATGTCTTTGCAAAATATCAAAATCATACATTAAATACATCATTTGCACATTTTATTTGAGTTGTCCTTTACATATTCCATCATTCTTCCAACTGTGTTGTTATTCCATTTGCTCTCCATTTCCTTCCTGTTCTCTTTATTTCAATCTTCTGCTGATAAGCATTCCACTTCATATCTCTGACATACACTACTACTACTACCACAAAAGTAGTAGTAACACAAGTATCAATTGTAATGTCATCCAATGATGCAGTCAAATGGAACGATTCATATCACATAAAATGAAAGGACCACTATAAACATATTTTCAAGATTAAACAATAAATATTTTCAGTAAATGATATTTGAAATTAATAAATGTTTAAAGGAAGTCTATGTATGTTTTAGGACTTCGAGTTTCCTATTGCCAATATAAAGGACTTCAATTAAACGGTTTTTATCGGCTTATGTCCATCCTCAACAGATTATCTTGGGAAAACTTCTCTTAGTACATTTGGGCTGTGGCTAAAAATGGTATACTGTATACATGTTTTGTCTCATTTGTGACTCATCAGATAGTATGCAGATCCATACAGTGAATAAATCACATATTCAGGAAATAGGTGAATTAAACTAAAATTAAACAGACGAACGTATATAACTTTTCAACAGACAATATTAACAAAATGAATTCATGAGTGAATAATGTTGGTAACTTATTCACATGATAAACAAACGGTACCAACAATCAGTTTGATATTATTTATAAGAATTTTAAGAAAAGAATACTAATAAATTTCAGATGATCCCTTTCTTTTTTTTTAACTTATAGAACGAAGTTATGTTTCAGGGATATTAAAAGTTCTCAATACTTGATATACCATAAGTTAAATTATAAGGTACTTTGTTTGTTATCAGTGCTTGTGTGTAACATTTTAATTTAATGAATATTTGGACGTGTCTTTGTTAATTTACTTTTTATCTGTCACAATATTGAATACCTTAATATCATTTGGGTCTTCATCCGACTGACCGATACTTTTAAACAGTACCAGTCTATGTAATAGAACATAGCATTAATATCTATTCGCTTTCTGATTTTAGTAAAAAAAAAGTTCCCTAAACTAAATATCATACATAGATATAAATTATTGTCAAAGATAGTTTTTTTTTCAAAAAATACAGATTTCTGTAGTTATAGTCTAAAATAAATGAAAACACAGTTTTCTTTTTTTGTTGTTGCATCGTTCATTAAATTATATGGTGCCTAAAATAATAGGAATCAGTATTATATTTCCATAGAATACTTGACTCTTTTGACTACATAAATGTGTAAGATACATTCAAAGAGCATCTCTAGGTTATATTTTTTTGTAGAGATGTAGTTGACAAAAAAACATAATATCGTTCGTTAATCAATAAGAAATACCTACCTTCAGTCGATCTATGCTTATTTTTTTTTAATAAAAAAAACATTTATATTGAAGGGCATTCTGTTATAAAAGAAAAAAGTAGCGAATTCCATCTGAACATAGTGAACATTGTTACATATTTTAATATAAGCGAAAACTATTAGTTCGTACGTTAGTGGAATTCAACCATGTCGGGTATGAGGCAGTGTTATACCACTAGCAACAGAAGATTATTGTACAATATCGCGAATCGATTGGAGTTAGATGTGCACACTATTGATGCCGACTCAATGATCTAAGGGTTAAAAGTGCTCACATCGTAGACGAAAGATCTTGGGTTCTATACCTCGTGATTACTTACTGACTTACTTACGCCTGTTACCCCTCGTCGAGGAGCGTAGGCCACTCATCAGCATTCTCCATCCAACTCTGTCTCAAGCAATCCTTTCCAGTTCTTTCCAGTTAACATTCATCATTTTCATATCTGCTTCTATTTCCCAGCATAATGTGTTCTTTGACCTTCCTCTTTTCCGCTTCCCTTCACCATTCCAAGTTAGCGCTTGCCTCGTGATGCACATTGGTGATTTCTTTAATGTATGTCCGATTCACTTCCAACCTCCTTTCCTAATTTCCTCTTCAGCTGGAAGCTGGTTTGTTTTCTCCCATAAAATGCTGTTGCTGATAGTATCCGGCCTATGGATGTTGAGTATTTTTCGTAGACAACTGTTTATAAATACTTGTACTTTATTGACGATGGATGTAATAGTTCTCCACGTTTTAGCTCCATACAGTAGAACTATCTTGACGTTCGTATCAAAGATTCTCACTTTGAAGTTAGTTGAAAGTTGTTTTGAGTTCCATATGTTCTTCAATTGTAAGAATTCTGCCCTTGCTTTGCCAATCCTCGCCTTCACATCTCGTGATATGTCCATGAAAAAAATATTTACAGGTGATTTTTGAAGTGATTTACAAATGAAAATTTCAACATTAATCAGATAAAACTTTTTTAACCTCACTGATGATGTTCTCTTAATGATACTTATCACTTCTCTGTATTTCTGTTTTGTTTTTTTCATCGTTTTTCAAAACAGGTCTTCTAGTTTAATTCGAGATGCTATTAGTAATAATACATTTTTGAAACATTTGGAACCATCACAAATTGAAGAAATAGTAGCTTGTATGTATAAAAAACAAATACCTCATGAATGTTTTATTATACGTGAAGGTGAACCAGGCGATGCATTGTATGTTGTTTCAGGTAATGTTTTTTATTGAAGGGAAGAAGTTTCACATTTTTTTGTTTCATTTCCTTGATTCCTTTTTTACTTTCATGAATAGTTGCTTATTAGTTGGGATCACTCATTATTCTTTAAAATGATTTGTTTGATAATACTACTACTACTACTACTAATAATAATAATAATAATGGAGTTTTGTAATGTCACATTGCTGATATTCACCATTACTCATGATGAATTTTTATTTGTGTACGTGCGTCCTGAACTGATTTGTACAACTTACCTTATCGTCACAACCGAAAAATTAAGTTTCAGTCTGTGTAAGGATCGACGTTAGGATCCCGGTAGATGAAGATGACACTTTCCAAATAGGATGATACAGTTATACAGGATTCTACTGCTGGACACTCACGTATTTCTTTAAAATTTATCCTATTCTGTAATCCTCAAAGAAGGAGATACAGTTTTTAGTGCTAGATAATAAATTAGATAATTACAACTTCTATTTCACACAATTTTTCCCATTGATAGATTTGGCTAAAACAAGAACAATCAGTATAACAGAATAACATGAACTTAGTTTATTTCACAGTTTCTCATCAAATCCTTATAAAGTAAATATTCCGAAAAAGTCTAATGTCAAGTGGATTAAAGGCATTCAGCAGTGCCATCTCAAGACATCTCATTGACACAGGAGATCAAGTTGATACACTGAAGTCTTTCATGGTGGTTCATAAGCAATCAAACTCCAATCTTCCAAAATTTTTCGAAGCGATAACAACTAAAAGTCTAAAACCAGATCTATTTGTCCAAAAAGAAGCAGTAATAAATATTTATTTGCCCATGTAACACTACATCCTTTGACTGATTTATTGCGTCACTCATTATTTCAACTCTCTGAAGTTTAATTACATCATTGTCATTTTTCTTCAATTCATAACTGACTGATTTCAATTCATATCTTCATTTATAACTATTTACAGAAAAGAGTTTTTATGGAGATTTTAGTAATTTTATATAGTTAAGATCATGATCATATGCTCACTAATGACTGGTTCCATGAGGTAATTCCTGGAGTTCTAGTGAGAAGTCGTGACCAGTGGAGCTAATCAATGTCAGGTAGAGACAGGTATCTACTTCAGTATAATGGAAGTTGGTAGCGCGATTTCGTGGATTGATTGAGGTTATATATTAACATCGTTGGATGCCGGTTAAGTGGTCTGGCACGAAACTGGTAAGTCCTAGGTTCGAATCTCGCAAGGCGGGATCGTGAGTGCGCACTGCTGAGGAGTCCCACAATAGGACGAAACGGCCGTCCAGTGCTTCCAGGTTTTCCATGGTGGTCTAGCTTCAATTGACTCATGATCTTAACTATATAATATTACCATTAATCTATTTTCAGTTACTTCATCACCCTATCATTTTTAAATCTATAATTTCTAATCACTATTTCAATGTTCTTGAACTTTCCCTTCCAAACTTTATATATTTATCCGAAATTTTTTTTAATGATATTAACTCTATTGAAATCTTCTCTACAGCATGATACATATATTCATCTCTAGTCGCCTTCGTATTTATATGTCAATATCTGCTATAACATTGATTGTAAATATTATAGGTTGTAAGCAGGTGATGAGAACCGGGAGGAACAAAATATAATTCATATTGTTCTGCATCAATCTTCGTTCATGCTCTCTTTAAGATAATAAATGGAATTATGTGTATGAAGATAATAATGTCATTCGTTAAGATCACGTTATATAATTTATAGTATAATATTATGAAAGTTCCCATCAATCACGATTCATGAAAAGAACGATAAGTATGGAAGAACTATGAGATACTTATATGATAAACATTATCAATGTTTATAAGTTGAATATGTGAATATTCAAGAGTGAAAACTGAAAGAACTGAACCGGAATTATTTGAAATGAGATAATAATGTTGTAGTTATATAATCGATAGAATAGACTAAATGAGTGAATATTAGATAATAAATGAGAATTAATAATTAGTGTTGTGAAAAGTAAAATTCCATAACAAATATGTATGAATGAGGTCAATCGAGCAAAGCGAGATTGATAGCTGAGTCTTTTTGAATGCATAAATTAGGTTGAAATCTTTTTACTATAACTACTTCAGCAAAACGTAGTAAATTCGACATTCTTTGTTCAATAATTATCTTGAAGATATTTGAGACACAAACACCATGACCATTGTCAAACTAATTGCGCGCAATCGCAATGTTGAAAACGTGTTATCCTCTTAGTCTTAGCTTCTGTGGAATATGCTCGAAAATGCAGACACTAACTCTTAGTTTTGTTCCTCCGATGTACTTGCTTTGGCACGTTCATGTAAGCTGATAGATTTGTAAACCTGTACTTAGTCAGTCTATTTTATTTATTGTTTGATGGATTATATAACTACAACATTATTATCTCATTTCAAATAATTCCGGTTCAGTTCTTTCAGTTTTCACTCTTGAATATTCACATATTCAACTTATAAACATTGATAATGTTTATCATATAAGTATCTCATAGTTCTTCCATACTTATCGTTCTTTTCATGAATCGTGATTGATGGAAACTTTCATAATATTATAAGTTATGTAAGATGATTTTAACGAATAACACTATTATGTTTAGTTTATAAGGATTTGGTGAGGAACTGTGAAATAAAATGAGGTCATTCATTTTTGTATTGGTTGTCCGAATCCTTCGATTGATATTTAGGACTGCAATTAATCAATCTCTTAATGGCATATGTGCATACTGTTCGTATTGCCTCGATATTGCCTTAAATTACAAGCGTTATAAGCAGAGATGGATGATTGCTGGCAGGTACATCTAGGTGAGAAGTCCCAAATAGGACGAAATGCGTGTCATGGATTCCACTGTGACTTGAGGCGATGTTTAATTCAAAGTGATTTATCTTGTGAGGATTTATCTTGAGGGAACTGGTGCTCCCTGACGGATTCGATCCCGTGTTACTACCTCCAAGCATCATGTTATCTCAGCATGGTGCACGCAGTGTCTAGCCACTTAGACTAGTGGCCACATTGCAACTTGATCGATAGCATTCGATCAGCACTAAGAAGGACTTGACACGCATGACATTGATCACCACCCAGTGATCAATCAATTGTGATTACATCTCAGTCCTACAGGAGGTCGTTCGTGGCCCGAATAGCTCAGTGGTAACGTCTCTGACCGTGAAGCTGAGTGACACGGGATAGGATCCGTCAGGGAGCACCTGTTCCCTCAAGATTACAGGTACACCTTGCTGACGAGTGCCAAGTAGTACGAAACCCGGGTCCAGGGTTTTCTGTTGACCACCTCCAAGCACCATCTTAGACGCAACATTGTATAAATATCAAAACAGGAAAATCCCACATTAACAGATATAAGGTTTTATAGGCAATGAAAAATTTCACCGACTACTTTCCTGAATTTCGGATGTTCGCTAACAATGCATTAGTATGCTAAATATGTTTTTCCCCTGAAGAATCTCAGAGCAGTTTACTGTGAGAAATGTCGGAGCTATTTAAATTTCAACTTCTGAAATTATTTCAAATGTAATTTCTACATAGAATTAATTGTATTCCATATACTTGCCGCTCAAATTCTATCGAAATTTTCGTTCAAATCTTAACATATATCCATATAGATTTATTTTATTTTTCTCATTTTTTTTCTCTCCATATTTTGGTTATTAGATGGAGTATTAGAAGTATACAAAGATAATGCATTACTTGGACGAATGGAAGTGGGTCGAGCTTTTGGTGAATTAGCATTACTTTATAACTGTAAACGAACTGCATCTGTTAGAGGTAAGTATAATATAATGAGAAAAAAACTTTTATACTTCTATTCTGACTATCAATTGATCTTGATTTCTATTTAGTAATGTTTACTTTAAGTCGATGATGATGATCATTTATCAATAATACTTTCATTCACATTTTGTTAAGAACTAAGCAACATGTTTCTAAAATTGTTTTGATAGTTTTAAGTAAACAAAATCCTTACGAAACAAGGAATCACTAAAGGATTGATTTGTTCCAAGTTATAATTTATCTTCAATCTATTATAGAAGAAATAACATGGAATTAAACACAAGATCTTTCAAGTTCCATGCTAAACTGATTATCATTTCAATGAACGTAAAGAAACGAGTTTCTATTGATACGATATTATTACTAAACAACTTTCATAAATTATTTCAACATGATATAGAATTGTTTTCTCTTTTTAAATTTAGTACACCTTTTCTTTCGTAATTATCAACGTTCGTTTAGTTGTCTTCTTAACGTTTTTATGCATATTTTATTTAAACACAAATATTGGTACAAAGGGGCACCATATACATATGTGCCACACAAATCTCATTTGAATTGTGTGAGGGCTGTGATACTACCCTGGTGCCCAGACAGAAGCAGGTGGTTTTCTTAGGGGACAACACCCCGAGCCTTTAACCTAAAGATCTGATCGACAAGGCAGTGGAGCATCGTAAGGAGATGCAGTCCCATGGTAGCCAGTGAGCAACGATTGATTCATACGTCATTTGTTCCCTCAGGATATTGGAACCCATGAGTCAATTGAAGCTAGACCACCTTGGAATACCTGGAAGCACTGGACGGCCATGTCATTTCATTATGGGACTTCTCAGCAGTGCGCATCCACGATCCCGCTTCGCGAGTTCAGAACCAAGGACATACCAGTTTCGAACCACTAGACCACTGAGCCGGCGTTCGATGTTGTTGATGTCCCAAAACGGCCGTCCAGTGCTTTCAGGTTTTCCATGGTGATCTAGCTTCAATCGACAAATGATTTCAACTATGAAAATACTGAAATCTCCACAAAATCCCTTTCAAATTATGTTTTGTTCATTTATTTTCTGGATCTGTTGTTTTATGGATTCATATTGTTAGGATTATATAAAATATGACAGTTTCTCCTTGTTCCATCACCAGTTCTCGTGGTTATAATAATCAATTAACCTCTTTCTAGTGAAGTGTGAAAATATTTTTTAATTATAAATATATTTTTGTTATATTTCAATGAGTGAAAAAATTGTATTTCTGACGTTTCGTGACTTAATGTACATATTAGAATAAATGATGAGAAGTTTGAAAAATTTCATAACTCTTTAATCAAGGTTCCAATTTCACTACATAATGGAAATGATTTTGTGGTTTATAGTAATATATTATTCAATATAAAATAAACATCTGTTTATTAAATCATCAAAGTATGAATTTATAGAATGGGATACATTTGTATTTTAGGAGTAGTTGATCATATTCAATGAAATATTAACGTTGTAATGGCTGACCCTATGTGAGACCAACATAACTTATTCTAGTTTCTGAATAGGCTATTTTATTCATTCTTTTTGAGTCACATTTTAATCTTGTTAATTATTCACTTCGCCTAGATTAGCCTTTGCCTCTCTTCTCTTTGATTCGATTTGCTTGTAAATATTGAATAACGCCTAATTAAAGTGAGTTGGCTCATATACCTTCTCCATTGAATGTCTTTCCGTTTCGCTTCTCTATCTCCTCTTCTCTGCGTTTCTCTGGTCGTCTGTCTAGATCAACGAATGTATGAAATATACGTATTCGAAATCTATTCTCGCATTTGACTTATTTAATTCCGTTAATCACTAACGCAAGTCAAGTTGATGATTATATGCGAGGAAGGATGTTATGTATAAGTAGGTAGCGATAATCACACAATCTAGTTGAAGTTGGATATTTGTGGGTCACTAAAATGTATTTTGTAATTTATTAACCATTCAAAGATTTATGTACTCAGTTATCACAGCTAGTTATACCCAGCTACCCACATATAAGTAGATAGAGGTGTAACGAACGAAAACTCACTCAAGGAAAAACCAGTTGTATTATTAAAAAAATTACACACTGAATTTGTAAAACATGGGAACAATACATTAGACACACTTTTTGCATATTTTCTTTTAGCTGTCTCTTACAAACTTCATCATTCTTCTATTTCTGTTGTTAGTTCGACTGCTCCTTGTTTTTCTTTCTCTTCTGCAAGTGCGAATCCCACTTGCGATTCCAGTTACGTACGACTTATATCTGTTCCCAAAAGTAGCACATACTAAAGACGAGGGCTTTTCCGAACTCAATCAAATGACTGAAATCCGTTTATTTCAACCATTAAGTCATTCCTCCATCTATCTCCATTAATGGAGTACACAAACAGTGTATTGAAAGTTTAAATGACCGTTCATCATAGTAATTCAATAAATCTTGGACAATGTGAATAAAGTTCATTCGTTTTTTAAAGTTTCCATATAATTGTAACTGTCATTTGAGTCGTTAAGAGATAATACAAAATTGTTTTATTATTTCATTTTTCTTTCTTTAAAATATTAGCTGTAACCAATGCTTCAGTATGGACATTAGATCGACGTGTATTTCAACAAATTATGATGTCAACATGTATACATAAACAGCAAGAAAATATGAAATTTTTAAAAAGGTATTATAAACTAATACAAATATTGATTATTTATTTATTTATTTAAACAGATAAATATTGGTAATAGGGGAAACATACATATATATGCGCCACACAAATCTCATCTGATTTGTGTGAAGTCTGTGATACTGCCCAGGTGCCCAGACTGAAGCAGGTGATTTTCTTAGGGGGCCACACCCGTAGCCTTTCACCTAAAGGTCTAACCCACAAGGCAGTGGAGCATCGTAAGGAGATGCAGTCCCATGGTAGCCGGTAACCAACAGTTGGTTCATACGCCATTCGTTCCTTTAGGATACTGGAGTCCATGTGCACCATTTTTTTGGAATCAGGGTTTTCCAAATCCCTAGGAGGACTCACGGTGTCCACCAACCCGGTTAAAGCGTTGGACATTCGCTTTTCGTACTCTCAATTTCGTAAACAACAGTAATGCCACGAGAAGACAGTGAGTAGAACTTCCCTGTCAGAGGCTATATACGCGTGATTGATAAATGAACTATTTTTTTAAAATGTTATTTTACATAGAAAAATCCATTATGATCATTCTAGTAATTACTTTTAACTATTCATATTTATTTTAAAGTGACTTGTATTAGTTAGACGGAATAATCATTCACCAACTTCATCTAGATTAATTAACCTATTAAGGGTATCACCAAATTTCATTCATTCTAATGAAAGTATATATTCGTTTAGGTATTTGTATATAATTGAATTTACAGTGTTTTCAGTGAATATTTGCTTAATCCCTATTGTACTAAAGTTTACCATTTTAAATTTATCTAGTTTTCTAGTCCTCTGTTGATTAAATCATGATTAGGATTGACAGTTGTACATTAGGGCTAGGAGTTAGAGTTAGGGTTTTCATCACGAACTGACATCAACTGTAATGACAAAATGTTATTTAGCCATTATATATATATATATGGATGAATTTCGTGCCAAAATTTATGGCCCATTGTCTCAAACCTGATTAGTTCGTCTACAAATTATAGTCTCATCGATTTCTTAGTTAATAATATTCGTATGTAGGTAGTTGTATTGATCTATATATAGTACTACAATCCTGGAATGGATTAGGAGTTCACTCAAAGTTTAATCACTATCTGGTAAGTAGTCATAGTCTTTATTTGAATATTGTAAATGTAATTATCATTCAATTTAAGAGTAGTTTATTCAACCTGGATAACTATTTTAGGTGTATACTTATGCGAAATTTCAGAATATAAGAAATCAATAGACCAGTAATCTTTATATTTCTGTATTTAATCAACCGATGATTGTGCTTGATGAGTACGTTTTGGATACAAAAGAATCAATTGATTGTTAACATTTTTTTCAATATTCTTTTATATAAATTATCCGGTTAGTTTCACATAAATAAACAAATATTTAGAATACTGGATGCTTCATATAAAACTGAGGAAAAGTTATTAAATAGGGAGAATATATTTGTAAAATCTCAGCAAATGAATTTGAAGTACATCCAACGTTTAGCCTGGCAATCTGGTTCAAGGTTTTTCAAGGAGATTTTACAAATATATTACTCCTATGTAATGTCTTACATCAACTCGACGCCCAAATACTGTGAATCTATTCGCTCTAATTTAGACGAAAGTTCTTATATATGGGGAAAAGTTAGTTACAATTAAATGATGATAAATTAATTCAAAGATTGCATTCATCTATTTGTTTGATATTGAGTTAAATTAAGTGTATTCATACCAAATTATTATATGTAAATGTTATAAGTTGTTCATAACTATCTGTATAGAAAGTCTCTTGAATTCGGAAAAAAAAACAAATCCCCTCTTTTCAAATTATTTAAATATTTAACTTAATTGAAAAATAGTTACTGGTTGTATTAAATCAATAACTGGACATTCCTTTAAAATAAATTTATTTTTCCTCAATTTGTCCATTAAGAATATTAAACGAATACAAGCTTCAGAAAGGGGTTTTATGGAGATTTTAGTGATTTTATATAGTTGAAATCATGAGTCAATTGAACGTAGACCACCATGAAAAACATGTAAGTACTGGATGCCGGCTCAAAGGTCTAGAGGTTAAGCGGCCGCGCACAAAACTGATAGGACTTGAGTTCGAATCTGGCGAGGCGGGATCATGGTTGCGCACTGCTGAGGAGTCCCACAATAGGATGAAACGGCCGTCCAGTGCTTCCAGGTTTTCCATGGTTGTCTAGCTTCAATTGACTCATGATCTCAACCATTGAAAAAGATTCAATAATTCATTAAATAATTCGGTATTAAGAGATTAAAATCATTAAAACAAATGGACAATTTACCATAGAACCACATAATTTAACTTGATACCTATTCACTTATCCATTGCTTTTTCTATCTATTTTTAAAATTAAACTTAATAAATTACAAAAAGAAAACAAAAAAAGATTAAAAAAGCAGTATCTCTCATTATAAGCAAAGATGGATATTGGCTAGAAGTGGAATCCAGGACGCTGTTTTCGTCCTATTTGGGACTCGTCAGCCGTATGTACGTGCATCTCAGGATTGATGTTCCCTCTCGGACTTGAACCCAGTACCTTTCGATTCACCCTATTGCACAAGCAGGTGGCTAACACGACTCAGTAGCTAAGTGGATAATACCATGGCGTTTGAGGCGAATAGTACTGAGTTCGAGTCCCAGAATGAACATCAACTCTGAGATGCAGGTACATCCAGATGACGAGTCCCAAATGTGACGAAACACATGTCCTTGATTCCACTGCTATCCACTATCCATCTTTGCTGATAAAGCTTGTGACTTAAGGCAATATCGAGGCAATACACTCATTATGCACATATGCCAATAAGAGACTGATTAATTGTAGTTCTAAACATCGATGGGAAGATACAAACAATAGGAAGTAAGTATGTCATTATTTGTCATGTAATTTTAAATAAAATTCTATGCAATCAATTAAACAATAACCTTTTTTTACACATTTTGTTTATTTTAAAATCAGATGAAGAAATATGACAATCATTTTAATAATAATTAAACATGGAAAGTGTATTCATTTATATATATATATGGGTATGATAAAGAAATTTAGGTTTCTAGCAACTGATCATCAAGTAGTGACCGATATTGATTGCTCTATATTTAGGTACTGGCTGACTGGATATAACGTCTCAAACTGAGAAACTGAGTGATACTCTTTAGAGTCTGACAAGAAAAGTCAATTCCCTTATGACTCCAGGCGTGCCTTTCCAATGACTGTCAATTAGCGCAAAACCTAGTTCCAGTGTTACTTCCCAACAACATCCACTCATCTAAAATCAAACCTAAGTTTATTCATTGATATCGATAATATGATGCACAACTATATGGCTTTTGAGCGTCTATAACTTAGTCTTATATCAGTTGTATCGTCGTGGCAGAGTCTAGTGTCCATTTTTGTCAAGATTGTTTGCAACTCATTATTGTTTTAAAAGTGACCTACCAAAACTTCTTCTACGAAACTACTCATGTAAATCTACTGCTTAACTATCAAAAATCAGTTTTATCTCATAGAATTTTAGTTCTTTTATTAGGTTTCTTTTTTTTATAGGTAGTTAGGACGTATGAATCATCTTAAACTACAACTCTGTTTCAACAGGATTTTATTGTATCCCTTCAAATTATGAAATATTAAACGTAGAATATTTGACGAAATATAAAGTAATCAGTCATTTTTCTATGAACACTGTCCAATCGATTATAGTTTAAACCCTAATATTTATCAACAAGATATCGATTCATTTAGAATCATTTTCATTAGTTATCTACTCATCTGGTTTTTATTATTGTTTTCCCACTTTTGAAAATCAATTTTTTTTATAATAATAAGGTTACCTTTAATTTTGATTTAGATTCCCCTATTTGCAAATATTTTGTTTAGCTAAAGTCAATATAATTTATGTTCATCAAAACAAGTTAAGTCATATGATTTTGTTTTCTTCCAAAATTTGTTTTCATTTATCTAATTCATAGGTCAGAAAGCTTGCTTATCCATCTATCTATCTATCTATCTATCTACCTATCTATCTATCTATCTATCTATCTATATATATATATATATATATATATATATATATATATATAATATGTAACTATTTATTAGTAAGTGTTCTATAAAAGTGACTTTCACATTACATTGTTGTAATGTTTTGTTTAAAAAATGTAATACAGATATTCTATATAAATGAGAAGCAAACTAATCTTGTAAATAAGTGGATTGATCATTAGCTATTCAGAAAACTGATTTATTATTTTTTTCCATGTTATTAATTGAATTATTTTAAAGCAAAAAAAAATCGATAAAAACTACTTGCTATTTAGTAGTTAATTAAAAGAAGGAATTGTTTATTTTCGTCAAGTTTACTTACTTACTTACGCCTGTTACCCTTCGTGGAGGAGCATAGGCCACTCATCAGTATTCTCCATTCGTCAAGTTTAAACAAAGTAATATTAATAGCATGTTTTTCTTTTCAATATAAACAACTAATAATTAAGAAAATAAATAACAATAATGTATTTATCAGAAGGGGTATTGTGGAGATTTAGTATATTTCATAGTTGACCTATCAATTGAATCATGCTTTCAACTATGAATAATATATTTGTAAAATTTCAGCGAATGAATTTGAATTAAATCCAAGGATATTTCCTTGAAAAAGCTTAAACCACATTGTCATGCGAAACGTTCAATTTTCTTCGAATTCATTCGTTGAGATTTTACAAATATATTCTTCCTATTTAATGTCTTACATCAACTCGACGCCCAAATACTGTGAATCTATTCGCTCTAATTTAGACGAAAGTCCTTATAAACTAATAATTAAGAGTAGAAATAAACCTTATTACATAGATCGTCAAACAAACTTAGTTTCTATCCAATATATAATCTCTGTGTAAAATAACAATTCATAGGATACTTCAATCAGATACTTTTATATTTGAAGGAAATTTAGAAATAAGTTTGTTAATATATCTTTTTAAAG